GAGTCCTATTACTTAAGGAAAAATAACTGAAAATCTAGCACAGCAGCTTACATTTCTTGGACTGGAGCTTGATAAAATTCAATAACACTGGAAACCAACTACAGAAAGACTTCAAGATTAGTCCTTCGTGTACTTCTGTAAAGCTACTTTCAAGCAATTCCAGGAATTAATAGGTTACCTCAGGTTTTCCTGTTGGTTAGTTGTTCTGGGCAAGGTGTTCTTAAAAGAGTCTGTGACACCATGAATTATTTGAAATCGACACATCACCATTTATGAATCACAACAAAAATTAATACATATAGTAAGCCAGGGATTTCTAGAACAGCTTAATAGAGTATATTTTAGAGGGGTGAGCTTAGGCTGATTGCATGGTTACTTCTCAAATATTCCTTGACCTAAAGCAGTGTTTCTCAACCTGGGGCTTGGGAATCCTGGGGGGGGGGGGGCTTGAGAGGATGTCATAAGGGTTGCCAAAGACCATCAAAAAGTACTCTTTGTAGGTGAACCATAAATCCCAGTTACTACAATTCCCAACTACCAAATGTCAAGGTCTATTTTCTCCACCTGTGTTCACATTTGGGCATACTGAGCATTTGTGCCAAGTTTGGTCCAGATCCATCATTGTTTGAGTCAATAGTGCTCTCTGGATGTATTTGAACTACAACTCCAAAACCCAAGGTCAATGCCAACCCTTCCAATATTTTCTGTTGGTCATGGGAGTTCTGTGTGCCAAGGTTGGTTCAATTCCATCTTTGGTGGAGTTCAGGATGCTTGTTAATTGTAGGTTAACTATGAATCCCAGCAACTACAAACCCCAAATGACAAAATCAATCAAAATCAAATATATTAGCTCAGTTTTTGGTGTAATACTCTTGCTTCCATCTATGTTATTAAAGCCTTGATGTCACATTAATCAAGGATAATGCAATTTGTCATTACTTTTGTATTGTACTGATTACAATTTAAGACCAGCAATTACAGAATTGTACTGTTCCTTCAGTATATCCAGGTCAGGCCACAGGGTATAGCTTCCTGTTTTAGGGGATTAGGAAGATATATTCTTCACACATAAAATCAGTACAAGTACAAAATAAAATAAGATAACCAGTTTGTTACATCAGTAGAGTGCACACATTTCAGAATTGAGCAGTGGCAGCTGGAGAAAAGTAGAGAAAGCTAGGCATCATAGGATAGAAAAACCTTGGGGAGAGCAGGTAATTTTCCAAGGTATTTTTCTCCGAGCCTTTTTGGTTTTGGGGAACCATTAATAAGTTAGGAAATACAGAACTGGGTCAACAGCAAGTGAGCAACTTTCTATTCAGACACTGATAGAAAAATCTTTCTCTGCTCCCCATAAACCCCCATTGTCATTGCGTAACTCTGTAAAAAATCACTAAGGCAACATAATGTACTGCATTCTGGACACAGTACTGAGCAAGGTATGTCAAGCACTGCAAAGGACCGCTACTTGTAAGACATTTTGGCCAGAGAACACAAAATTTTACAAACTAAACTTATGACAGCTTTGATTGTAGAGTTAATTTACTTTTGAGATTATATTTATGATGCCATAATTACTCATAGCCACCTTCAAAAATATCAGTCACTGCCAATGTATGTTGACATAGGATCTCAGCAAGTAGCTAAAATGTGCAATCAATGAAAAAAGTTTCAGTGCTCATTATGAAATTAGGGGGTGGAGAAAAATGATTTCTAAAGTGTTTCCTATATTGAACCAGGTCTGTATCATAGCTACTATGATTTAACTACTTTTTCGTTACTTTTCATTAAGTAATTAATTGTGCCAATGGGGAAACTTTAGGGTGCCTTTCTCCCTCATTGTTAGAGTTATTAGCATGAAACTTGCTGTGATGATAGAACACATTTACCAGTGTTAGCCCATCATGTTTCAGACCATTTCACTCATCCACAGACTTTTAAGGGAATATTCAAAGTTTTTACAAACAACATTTTTTTAAAAAAAACTACTCTCTTTGGATTTTCTGTACAATGACACAAGGTAACAGGGAACCATTCCCCCAAGTTTCAGAAATATTTATACAGCTACTGATTTTTGGGATTTTAAAAAAGTTTTTTTAAAAAAGCCACAGCAGCAATCTCATTGAATGTCTACCATATTAACCTATAGAATGATTTAGGGATTTCTTCCCCACCCAGCACTGATTTCCTTGTATTGAAATATCAAGAAGTCCCCCTCTTTGCTGATTCAACCATTTAATAGAACTCCGGCTGCCTCTAGGAGGGGAAAAATCTCTCCCATATCCTAATTGGAGCTTTCTGATATTGAGCAGAATTCTGGGAAATGTAATTTAGGGCAGGGCCTTTTGAATTCTTTGCCACAGGGTCCCTCATCTTCCCAAACTACATTTCCCTGAATGCTGTGCTCTCTCAGTCTCTTTCACTCATCTTGTCCCACCCTGCTGCTTTCCTCGTGGCAAGAGGGCATTAATTTAAAAAAAGAAAGAAAGGCAGCCTTTTTTGCTTCCTTCACTTGTGCTGAAAATGAAGCTGACTTTGGTGGACTTCAGAGCATTACAGAATTCAAAAGTATTGGGTGAGTTTTAATTCTTAAGTTTTTGTGTGGGTGCATCCCCCCCCCATGTTTCTTAACATCTGTTCATATAGACAAAACTTACAAATATTATGTGACTTATTAATTAAAAATGAAATTTTGAATACCCCTAATAGTAGCACAATGTTAGCCATGTTTATGCTAAAATAAATCCAAATATTTCAAATACAGGGTTACAACCCTGGCAACATATCTTTGGTATCCAGAACTACCTCCTTTCCTTGTGCTTATGGATGAGTTCATCAAAGCAGAAATATATGTGCAATAACATACCATGAAATTGTACTTGCTGTAGCAGAGTAACATCATTCATGGTTTATTAGGCGGTGCTTCTTTTAAAAGAAGTCATGTTTTTGGTACTGTTCCAAGATCCCAACCATCTTAATCCAGCCTTGGCAGCTCTGAATGCAGACCCCAAGAGCCTATTTGACAGCTGGAACTGGCACTAAACAGAGAGTTGGGAATAAGGAAGTTAATTATTTGAATTGGTTGGCAGCAGATCAAGTCCTAGGGCTATTTTAGGCACTAGGTGGTAAGTTTTTAAGGCCCTCCATAAATTTTCCAGATCTTTGCATACAGCCATTCTTGCCATTTCCCATGATGAGCCAAACTGATACAATTCTTCTGGTTCACATAACACTACTAGGTAGGGGAATACCATCTGGAATTTTGAGGTTCAGTGTCATATGTATGCAGATGACACCTAACTCTATTACTTCTTCCCACCAAAAGCCAAGGATGCCATCCTGACCCTCAACTGGTGCTTGTCAACAGTAATGGACTGGATGGGGTTACACCCCCACACACACACCTCGAAAACACAGGTACACAACTTGAGGGTGATTCTGGGCTCATCACTGATCCTGGAAGCCCAGATGTTGACAGTGGCCAGGAGTGCCTTTGCACAATGAAGGTTGTCCACCAGCTGTGCCTGTACCTTGAGACGACAGATCTGGCCATGGTGGTTCATGCCTTAGTTACATCCCATTTGAACTACTGCAACACGGTCTATGTGGAGAAGCCTTTGAAAATAGTTAGGAAGCTCCAGTTGGTCCTGAGATCTTCTGTCAGATTACTAACTGAGGCTCTGCACAGGTAGAGAACCACGCTGACCTTGTAGCAGCTCCACTGGCTATAAAGCTCTAAATGGTTTGAGTCCAGACTATTGGCTAACTGCATCTCCACATACAAACCTGCTCAGGCACTTTGATCAGTGGATGAAGCCCTGCTCTCAGTCCCACCCCTGTCTCAAGCATGGCTGGTGGGTATGAGAGAGGGGGCTTTCTTTATTGTTGTTGTTGTTATTATTATTATTATTATTATTATTATTATTATTATTATTATTTGGATGCTGGGTATGATTTGGGATTTGGTCACCACGGGGAGTCGCCATGGGGAGATAGGCTGAGACATAAATAAATTATTATTATTATTATTATTATTATTATTATTATTATTATTATATGCTACTGTTGAATGTATTTTGAATTCTGTTACTTATGTGTGTCCAACAAGTTGTGTTCCCCTTGTTTTTCTCACTGTTGACCCCATCTCCACTTTATTCATATAATAACCTTATTAAGATAGATGAGAAAGAGAATGAATGACCAATCCAAAGCCATTCAGTAAGTTTTTTTATCTTAGTGGAATCTTGAAACTGGGATTGAAACTGTCATTTTAGTAATATTGTATACTCAAAAACAATTGTATTTTTAGTCTCTGATAAAACGAACAGGAAGATCTAATTTTCTGCACTATTACCACTACAACCATGCAAAGCCATCTAGAGCTGCTCTTTCAGGTGGATAACTTTTATATTTATATTTTAATAACAAGTATCATCATAAGAAATTTCACAAATAAAGTCATTCACATTCATTCCAGCTTAGATTACATTTGAGAATCAGAACATATCCTGCTTGGAGGGATAGCATACACTGACTGCAATAATAATAATAATAATAATAATAATAATAATAATATCACACCTTTCTCCTGATAAAGATTTATTTAAAAACTATATAGATTAAAAATATATACAAACACTTTAGTAAAAGTATAAATATCAACCGTTATTTAAAAACAATTTAAGAATTAATGAGCTGAAAATATTAAATATTAAAAACATTAAAATTCATTAAATGACTATGTACAAGCCTTTAAAACAGCTCCATGCAACATTAAAAAGTGACTCCAGTCAGCTTCTAAAAGCCTGGCAGCATATATAGAACCTTGTCATCTATTTATGATTTGTAATTGGCTGTATACCCCTTTTTTCTCTCTCTTAGGGAAAGTACAAAATATCACTGGTAAAACTAGAACATTCAGGTGTAGAAACATATTTGGAATTTGGTAAGGCACATGGGTCTGACATCTGTTGTGAGTTCACTGAATTAATGATATTTACCTTTTCATTGACTCGTCATCCACAATTAATTAAATAGGTTTCTTCTAGTTGGGGTTACCATCAGGATGCCACCCCTGCAGATCATTGTCCAAGACTGGGGATGAAAAAATGCAGTATAATCAGGTTGTGTACAATGCTGAGTGGTGGACACATGCTTGGACATCTTTCCTAGTATTCATTTTGAATACATTATTTTTTTAAAAATAAAGGACAGTGTAAAACACAGTGGGGGGGGGGTTGATCATAGAAAGTCATTCATCTGTTTAGTAACACTCGAGATTTCCACTGCTCCAACAGACACATCTGACTTTAGAGCTTATCAAGAAATTAAAGACTGTCAAATAAGAGTTGACCAAGATCCAAAAATAGCAGAGTTTATCTGTCATTACACATGCGATTCTTGTTCATTGAAGAAGCTGACATCAATTAAAATGTCATTAACTTCAATATTGTGCTACAACCTGGAACCTGTAAATATTGGCAACTGCACATGTCTAACATGCAATGGATGGGATTCAATGTCTTTTCACACTGTCACCATGTAATGGGCTTTTACCTTTGTTTGTGATAGATTGTATCATTGTTTTAGGTTCTAAGGTAAAAGGGAAGGGACAAAACATTACAATTTGTCCAATATTTAAATAATTTGTATGTATATTTGAACAATTTTGTAAAGGTCAGGATTTAGGATAGTGTTATTGGAAAAGAAATATAGCAAGCACTACCTAAAGGTACATCTGTATGCTCACTTAGTGCTTTTATTCCAAAAAGTTTAATTAATATTGATAGCTTGGCCTGACCTTTAGTAGCAGAATCAATGCTCTGCTTTACAATTTATGTTGATCTCTAACCCACTGTACTTAAAAATATAAATTGGTCTATAACAAAATTCAAGGGGGTTCCCTCTGAATTATCTAGTACACACACACAATAAAAAGTAATGCATCAGCTGAAGATCCGGATAGCATGTCTGGCTTTTTGTTTTTGAATACAAAACTCCAAGTTTCTTTCAGGCCATGTCTGGTTCAGACATGATGCAAATGAGTTCTTTTGTTGCGTTTCAGTCTCCAGAATAAAAGCTCCGAAATCCACACCCTGGCATTGTTGAGCCACATGGAGTCTTTAAACTTCTATTACAATATGAAATCCTTGATGAGAGTTTGTAATATCTGAAGATATAGGAATCATCTCTCTCCAATATTCCAAAGGACCATTTTATTCCTATATATTTATCCTCTGCATTTGTTTATTAATATATTCTTATAGAGGATGACTTTATTATCCATTTTGATTTTTTTCTTGAATTTTTATTTTGTTTTTACTTTTTACCAAGAAAATGTAGAAAAAAGAAATAACCAGAGTCCAACTGAACATTTAAGAAGCACCATCTCATTTGCTTTAGCATCACCAAGGTGGGAAGGTATTTGTTGTGAACCACTGTGAGTCGCCTTCGGGTTGAGAACAGCGGTATATAAGTAAGGTAAATAAATAAATAAATAAATAAATAAATAAGGTCAAAGTGTTATTAGAGGTAAATGTGAATGCTCTCAACTCCATGGCATGTTAGTTATGCACAGTTGCCAACACTTACAGGTTCCAGATTGTAGCATACCATTGCACTAATCTCTGAACAATTACCAGCATGGGCCAGTTGCCTTCATATGGTGATATCCATGCACAAGGAACTTACTATTGGAGGAGGGTAGGGAGCCAATATATATAATTCTTTTCAAGTAACCAAAACATTTCTCAGGCTTGCAGTTCTTCCAGAATAAGAAAAGTGTCCACGTATTGTCAGTGATGCAAATGGGTTGCACATTTTTATGGAATGACTTGTATTCACTTAGGAATTGTTGGGGGGGGAGGTAATGGAGGAGATTCATATGTGTGTGTATGTATCACCTTTCCCTCAAGACTGGGGTTCAAGACAGCACATAAATTACAATATAATTCAGAACATACAAAATATCAATATTAAACTGAATTAAACTATTAACTATGTTAAAAACAATGGCCAGAATCCTTCTGGGCAGTCATGAATGTGTTACCCTGAGATACATACTCACACCTGTTTCATATTTACAGTCGCTATATAGTCCCTAGTTTAGGAGATGTGAACAATGAAACTCCCCAGACCCTCCTTATTGGGCATTAGTTGCTGAGATCAAAATGGATATGTTTCTCTGACAGTTAGAAAACAGTTGACATATGTTCTACCCCATGTTGTGAGTTTTATGCAGTTAAATGGGAAGAAACGGGATCCTTGTTACAATTCCCCTTCCACCCATCCCAGTCATGAAATATGGGGTGGGAATATCAGGTGGCTTCTTACCCATCAAGAGGGGGACAGCTCCCCTCTACCTGACTGCAATAAGAGAGGCCTGAACTGGTTGATGATCCATTAACACTGAAGGTCCAGATGAAAATGACTGACTTGGTCACCTGCAGGTCTATATATTAGTCCCTCAGTATCTGCTAGGGTTCGGTCTCAGAACCTACCATGGATGCTAGAATTCATGGATGCACATATCTGGGGTGAGATAGAGTGTGGAAGAAATACAGTAAATAAATAAATGCCATATTGTATACAATGGCATAGTAAAATGGGGGCCCTTATATAAAACTAAGAAAATGTTAAGAAAATCAACTCCATAGATGAATGGGGTGTGAGCAATTTAAGCTAATGCACAATGGGGCAATTTTATCTATGCTAATGATGATGGGATCAGAGAAAATGGATGTGGCAGATTTTCTCCACATAAAGTTAATGCATTTTTCTCTTTTGAATACACCGACATTTTTCTATTGGTAGTTTTGAGCTAGCACTTTTCAAGAGTAGCTTTGTTGGCTGCAGCAAGTGAACAAAATACAAATGTGAAATGTCAAGAGTCCTGTTTTCAATACGGACCTGTGTTGCCATACAGCCTGTCAATGCAGAGAAAAGAAAAGAGGGACTTGTTCATTGTAGCTTCCAAGAAATATTCTTCAAGCAAAAATGAAAACAAGAACTGAGTGAAAAAACACATTTGTGCAAAAGCCCATGGTTTGTATTTGACCACAAAGAGAAACTCTTCCCAGTTACTCCAACTGAAGAGATGCATTTCACTCTTCTGACACACGGCATCAGCCAAGAACCTGACATTCCACTCACACAGAAAAAAAGAAGAATGACCATGATCCATTGAAGTTATATATTTTTGCCCATGGATAAGAGACACTCCTGCAGCTATTTTTGTCCCAAAACCTGTCAGGAAAAGGAGTAAGTTTGGGGCTTAATCAAAAGGCTGCAAGAAAGGGAATGGGAAAAATTCCTGAATCATCTGATAATGCAGTATTGGGTTTAATTCAATGAAGGTACACACCTCTGAGGGGCACAGTAATGAAAACCATTACTGGAAACTAGGGGGAATAAAGGTTATTTAATCAGCCATAGAAATAACATGGTCATGAATTAGCAGTGATGTTTCATCTTTCATGATGGATGACGGGAATAAGGCCAGTGATTTCGGAACAAGGTGAGGTAACCCATAATTTCCTCTTTGAAACATTTATGGGATATTGCTTTCTAAATGAATCCCATTTCTTTTTATATATATTGCATATAGGAACACACACAAAACCAGGGGATGTCTTTGTAGAAGGACTGAGATGATGCATCTGTTTCAGCTGAGGAATCATTTCTGCTCTGTACCCTAATGCCTCCTCCCCTTCTCTCCTCTTTCCTTTTCCTATTTGCAGTGCAATCCTAAAACTTTAGCTAAATGTTAACAAAATGCAATGCAGTTTCTGAACTTAGTGGATCCCATAAATGACTGAGACAAACATCTCCCACAGTGAAAGCCATTTACAAGTTGGACTCTTCCAAACCTAATGCTAAATAGAGGAAAGATGAGAACACTCTGTTTCTGTCAGAAGGACTGAAATGTTGTTTTCTTAAAAGCCAGGTTTGAAAACAAGCATCTCAGAACTACACATAGCAGAACTACCAAAAAAAAAAAAAAAGGAAAGGAAAGGAAAAAAAGAAAAATCTTTACAGTAAGTTTAAAAAATGATAAAGGTTCCCAAATGTAATGAGATGCTAGAGGAAACAGCTCTTTAGATTTCTCCTGGGAGCTCTAGTTGCCAAAGACAGACATAATATTTTCTCATTATTAGCTCTTCAGCAGAAAGGAAACAAGGTATCCTGTTCTTTCCAGTCACACAGAAGACGAGGCATTTTCAACAAGTAATTTAGAGCAGAAAAAAATGAAGGAAAGATGGTTGTGGAACTCAGTGATGCATAATTATCTCAGTAAAAGAGACGGGCTGTGAACAACACTGTTGATTTTGCTTCAAGAAGAATCCTCTAGAGAAATCTGATTTAAAATATATGGGGGATATTGCTGGGGTGGAGTGAACATTCCAGAAGCGGAACAAAGTAGTATAATTTTCTTATGAAGCATTGTGCCCATTTAATTTCCATGCCTTGAAATGCCCCCAAACTCACACCCCAAGTTACAAACACCCTACTTACATATGACTCCTAGAGACAATAGACAATGAGAAGAAATCTACCCCTAGGAAGGAGAATTCAGTCCTGTAAGCCTTATGACCAGTCCTTTTTCCCACAACAAACCAAGTTTTCAAAATTCAATTGTCAAAGGGACAGAAAGTGAAGTGAAATCATATTGCCGAAAGCTTTCACAGCCGGGATCACTGGAGTGTTGTGTGGTTTCTGAGCTGTATGTCTATGTTCTAGCAGCAGTCCCTGCTACTAAAACATGGTCATACCGCCCAGAAACCACACAACACTCCCCTGAAGTGAAATCTTCTGAACAAGGACACTGATAGCAAAACAAATGTTTCAGGATTGTTAACCCTTCCCAATGCTATCAAAAACTTTAAAATGGTTACATTTTTAAAAAGGTTACACTTTTTCCGAGTTTCTGAAAAGAAATGGATGTATACAGCAACTCCACTGTTTCAGATTCTATTTTATTGTACTGATTGACATAAAGTACCACTTTTAGATTATGGCCATTTTACAGCTGTTCAAAAATAGGCTGGTGGGTTTGACAGGGAAACCCCCAGCAAACAGTTTGCTCCATCAAAAGG